GGCAGGGTGATGGCAGGGCACCTGTCACGTTTGCATTGAAGAGAAATGAACCTATATACTACTTACAGCATCTCACTCAGTGGAGCCCCTCCCTCCATAAAAGCCCTTCTAGGCTGTCACATAAGATAAACAGCAAATTAGGCTAATAAACCACTGACTATTTCATAATACAGCCTGACCCATCTAAGTAGATGTCCGTACCCTAATGATTGTAGCTGAACCCCATGCTCTGGGGTAGGAGTCTGTCCAAACTGAACAATCCTCAGAAAGGCCCCAACAGCATAACCCCTGTGGCATCAAGGATCAGGAGTTGCTTCGTCACATTTACAGTGCAGGAGCTTTGTTTTCACACAGGTAGCATAATATAGTTTCATAGTTTCTAGGGTCGGAAGGGACCTTAGCAGATCATCTAGTCCGACCCCCTGCCATGGCAGAAAAGAGTACTGGGGTCAAACAACCCCAGGAAGGTGTTCATCTAACCTCCTCTTAAAAACCCCCAGGGTAGGAGCCTGCACCACCTCCCTTGGAAGTTGGTTCCAGACCCTAGCCGCCCTGACCGTGAAATACCGCCTTCTGATGTCTAACCTAAACCTACCCTCTGCCAGCTTGTGACCGTTATTCCTGGTCGCTCCTGGCGGTGCTCAGGGGAACAGTGACTCCCCCCAATGCCTGCTGATCCCCTCTGATTAGTTTATAACAGGCCACAAGATCCCCCCTCAGCCTTCTCTTGTGGAGGCTGAACAGGTTCAGGTCCCGCAGCCTCTCCTCATAGGGCCTGCCCTGCTGTCCCCTGATCATGCGAGTGGCCCTCCTTTGGACCCTCTCCATGCTGTCCACATCCCTCCTGAAGTGCGGTGCCCAGAACTGGACACAGTACTCCAACTGCGGCCTGACCAGTGCCGCATAGAGGGGGAGGATCACCTCTCTGGACCTGCTTGAGATGCATCTGTGGATGCATGACAAGGTGCGGTTGGCCTTCCTAACTGCCTCCCCACACTGCCGACCCACGTTCATCTTGGAGTCAATGATGACTCCAAGATCCTTTTCTGCCTCCGTGCTGACAAGAGGGGAGTTCCCCAACCTGTAGGTATGGTGCCGGTTGTTCCTCCCCAGGTGCATCACCTTGCACTTGTCTGTGTTGAATCCCATCCTATTCTCATCCACCCACTCTTGTAACCTGTCTAGGTCAGATTGTAGCCTGTTGCTTCCTTCTAGTGTGCCCACGTCCCCCCACATCTTAGTGTCATCAGCAAATTTGAACAGGGTGCTTTTTACCCCCTCGTCCAAATCACTGATGAAGATGTTGAACAGTGCGGGCCCGAGGACCGAGCCCTGCGGAACCCCACTGCCCACGTCCTTCCAGGTTGAGAAGGACCCATCCACTACCACCCTCTGGGTGCGGCCCTCCAGCCAGTTGGCGACCCATTTGACTGTGTGGGTGTCTACGCCACAGCCCCCCAGTTTCTTAATGAGAATGGGGTGAGAGACAGTGTCAAAAGCCTTCCGGAAGTCCAGGAAGACTATGTCCACTGCTACCCCTGCATCTAATGATCTGGTGATCTGATCGTAAAAGGCCACCAGGTTGGTCTGACAGGACCTGCCACTGATGAACCCGTGTTGGTTGCCCCTAAGCATGCAGTCCCCTGCTGGCCCCTCCTGGATGTGTGCCAGAATAATTTTCTCAAACAGCTTGCCTAGGATCGAGGTAAAACTAACTGGCCTATAGTTTCCCGGGTCCTCCTTCCTCCCTTTTTTGAAGATGGGAACCACACTGGCCCTCTTCCAGTCCTCCAGTACCTCTCCAGAGTACCACGAGTGCTCATAAAGCCATGCCAGGGGACTTGCAATGGCCTCAGCCAGTTCCTTCAGAACTCTAGGGTGGAGATCATCCAGACTGGCTGACTTGAAAACGTCCAGCCCCTCCAGAAGCTCCTTAACTAAATCCTCGCTAACCCTTGGCCCAGGTGTGCCTCCCCCAGGGCCCAAGGGGGGCCCAGGAGGGAGGTGGCTGTTGGTCACACTGAATATGGTCACACACAATATGGTCACACTGAAGGCTTTGTCACACCTTCCAGAGGAAAAGAGCCATTGAGTCCTATTACACAACTAGTCCAGCCTCTTTTTACCACCCAGGTGAGTCCCAGGCATTTGTCACAGATCCCCATATAAATTACCAGAACAATGGCATGTTCCCTAAATAAACCATCTGTAAAGAACAGAAATTAGGAGATTAAAAGGCCACAAAGCAGGGAATAATGGAACGTATCTTACCAAGTCTGCTGTTTACTGTGGTCTTTTGCCTTCCCAAAATATTGTCTTCCCAAAATATTTTAACAAAAGTGAGGTCCCCAAACATCTACTCTCACCTCTTCTGTCCTCCCATTTCTGTGCACCTGCACCAGTGTCCTGCACCTATGAATGTACTGCCCTCTAGAGGTTACATGCTAGCAAGAAATGTCCAGGAGTAACTTTTCTGAAGCACAGGTCTCTAGTCAAGTCAGGTGTAAAGGGTCCCTAATGCTCTGGTTCAGCTTTACTCCCTACTTCACCGAATACCTCTTAATGTTACACCTTGATGTTCATGCTTCCCATCAACCTCATTCTTTTTCTGCCCATTTCCTCTCCCTCTCCTCTGCCTTTCCATCTTTATTTTTTATGTGCTTTTGCAGATCTTGCTCTTTCTCCATGGTTTTTCCCCTTACCTGAGTTTTTCAGTCCCCTCAACTCTTTCATCCATTCTCTGTTCCCCCTCTCCCATCCTCTGCTCTCTTCTGGTCTCCCTTCTATTATTAGATCATATAACAAGCCAGGTGAGAAGCCAAAAGCATGAAATTACCCACATTTATCATCCACATTGGACAGAATCCAAGTCATTCCGTCCATTAACCAAAATTACATTCTTAAGATTAGATTGATTTTAATTATCTACACAAGGTTTTGCATTGTGTTAACTCATTTGACTTGAATTCAACAGGAACAATTTTTTTGAACAGATGATGTCTTAGTGTAAATGGCACCTGAACCCTCTTGCATAATATCTAGCATTGCCGTTACGGTCTTTCCTATAATTGTTCCAATCTGGGAGTGGTTTGCAGAGCACACTTACCACACACCAACAGGACTGGGCTCCTCACAAAGTGCAGTTACCATGGCAGGCTGAGGAGCTGTATATGAAGGTTGGGGTTCCCAGTGCCCTACCCATTTACAGAATAGCCTACAGGTTGGAGAACTTGCCCTTGATGTGGGAAGGCTGTTTCAATTCCCACCTTGGCATGAGGAGATTAAAACTCACATTTGATGCATTTTGCATGCCATAAACAACTAGACCCTAGGTGAGGGCACTCTCCAATTCTCCTTTTTAAGCTGTGCCACAGAACAGAGTAGAATTCAGTATCAAAAGGGCAGATGGAGAGCACAAGAGTGAGCATGACATTGTGGCCTATCAGTTCTATATCCTGGGGAATGGAGGGGTGGTGGTGCTGGGGACTTGGGTCCCAGTCTACTCCAAGGACTGCTCATGATTCACATAAATGCATTAAGAATCCTTGCAGAAGACAGAATGGGTGAAAGTCTCTGTGAAGAGAGACCTGGGGTACAGAGCAGAGAAGTATCTGCAAAGAAACCTTCTGAATAACCAATCTAAGGAAGAAGACTAGTAAAGCCAAACCCCAGGAAGGGGGCAAGTTCTAATTCCTCCAGCCGAGTTTGGTGCAGGCCCCATGAGGAAAGAATAAAAGCAGCAGTTCCTGAGCTACCTTATGCCTTCCCCAGATTTTGGCTCCTCTAAACTGGACTTGGCACCTGCTACTGCCCACACCGCATAAGGATCACCCAAACAGCTGGGAATAGCCAGAGCATAGCAGTACTCTGGCCCTACCCACTATATGTTTCTTGGAGGGGGGAAACCCATTCTGCTCAAGGAATCTCTAGAGACCCGTTTGCTTAATAATCCCTGCACCGCTGACAGCTGCATTAGGCCAATAAGTGCAGGTTTTGGTGAGGCACAAAGAAGTCCTTCTTCCAGTAAGGATATAAGAAACAGAACTTGCCTGCTGGAATCATAAGATTAAAAACTGATTTATTTCTAATCACCCTTATTAAAAATGCATACATGTGTTAGAAAAAGCACTGTAATGTGAAGATGTACCAGGTGTTCTCTCCAGAAACAGAATGAAGCCTATACCTGGACTACAGTATGACACACACAAATTATTTGTATACAGTAATTTGTATATTAAAACAATGTAAAATTATATTTTTTAATGCAGTCAAGTCTTTAAGAGTCAAACCTCCCCTGACAGAGAATATTTTCCATTGCAGTTAGGATTCTCTATGAAATGTAAGGTCTGTTATGAAGTTAGAGAGGTTCCTGGGTGTGCAGCACAAATGAGATGCCTTATCTCCACCTCATGTGTAGGTGATATCTATTCTTCTGCTGTCTACTCGTGCCCCGTCCAGAAAGGCCATTTTCTGTTTAATGCTCCTGCTGGTTAACCTCAGCAACTTGAAAATGGTGGTCAGACATACATGAGTAAGTGCTGAAACCTCCATCGTTTTTTCCTGTCTGTTTCAGTGAGTTTCTAGAGATGCAATCTGCTCTCCAATCCCACCACCCACTAACCCCAGCCAACCCTCTATTTTACATGGAATTTTGCTTTCGTATGGTTTGATGCTGACAAGCTGCCAGTAACCAACCGGCAGGGAACCATACAATCAATATAGGGTCATCTTAAACCTTCTTTCTGTGCCACTGATGCCCATACCAGACTCCTCTCTGCAAAGACCTCTGCAAAGGCCTCTTCCTGAACAAGAAACCTATGACAGACAATGCAGACAGTCTAAAAAAAATTCTAGATGTTACTCACATTCTTCTCTTGCTGCTTGAAGCTCTCACTAGTGTTCACAAGCATAAGCTCTAAATAAAACAACAGAAGCAAGAGAGCATCAAGAGGAAAAACCACACCAGAGCATTAAAGATTAAACATGTTTTCAAAAATTCAAAATGAGGGTGGGACCGGGAGGCAGGACCCTCATGTATATAAATACCTATTCTCCACCTTAACTTTCATGTCCAAGAAGGAGCCCATGTAACTGTGGCTAGTAGACTTCTCCTCTTTCCAAAGGGTTTGGGTTTGAGTGCTGATGGACAGCTCTGGGAGGAGTGATTGTATTCCTTTACCATTTCATCATGATAATAAAATAAGTAATGCTGCATTTCACATTTATGATCAGCCTGTTTCTGGCTAATGTGCAATTACTGAGTTAGAGACATTCCTTAAAAGAGGGTATATGCCCATTTCTCAGCAGCACAAAGTCCTCAGGAACTAGAAGGCAGTGTCTTGTATGGGTTCAGAATCCCTTTGGGGTCCAGCATGGCCTTGAACTGCTGCATCAGCAGGACAGTTTCCCAAGGTTTACTGTACTGAATGTAGTGCTTCTTCTTGAAACCCAGTCCATGCTCAGCGCTGATACTGCCACGATACTTTGCAGTCCACTCGTACACAAATGGCTCAATGGCATCCAGCAGGGTATGGCTATAGGACTCAGCTGTGATATTCAAGTGCAGGTTTCCATCTCCTGGAAGAAAGCATAACAGAGCTATGTCTGAGATGGTTGCACTCAAAGACCCAAGAGACCCAGCAACCAAGTTTCATAGATTCATAGATGCTAGGGTCAGAAGGGACCTCAACAGATCATTGAGTCCGACCCCCTGCCTAGGAAGAAAAGAGTGCTGGGGTCAGATGACCTCAGACAGATGCCTATCCAGCCTTCTCTTAAAGACCCCCACGGTAGGGGAAAGCTCCACCTCCTTTGGAAACCCATTCCAAATTTTGGCCACCCTTACCATGAAGAAGTTTTTCCTGATATCTAGCCTAAATCTGCTCTCTGTGAGTTTGTGACCATTGTTCCTTGTTACCCCAAGAGGCACCCTGGTGAACAGAGCATCTCCAAAACCTTGCTGCATCCCCCTAATGAATTTGTAGGCAGCTACAAGATCACCTCTCAGCCTTCTCTTGCAGAGTCTGAAGA